GATTATGATAATTATAATCATGGCACTGATTAAACTGATGATGACGGCGGTGATCCTCACGATATTATAGCATAAACATAATAATTTAACTGTCATTAGTTACTACTCGTTGCTAATACTGCGCTGTGGCGCAATCGGTTAGTCGTTTGCTTTACACTTTAATGATGATAGGTTAAAACGCTAAGCTGTGAAGGTAAGTCTCAATACATTGCACAGCTGGTCCAGCACTATTTCAACATAACATGGCAAAACTAGTAGGGAAAGAAACGTTTCGTCAATAAAAATTTTAGTATCAGCTTTGTTTGGAATTATGAACTACGGAATTTGAAATTAGATACAGTTTATAATGAAGTAAAATATTTTACTAAGTTATAAGAATAATACGAAAATATAAGACGACAAATGAATGGACAAGAGTACAAATCAGAATGTGCTTGAGTGAAGAAGTTAAAGTGGCAATGGACAGAATCGACCATCGCAGGATCAGAACAAAATTAACGGTTTCCAAAAGAGAGAGGAAGTAAACGATTCGTAAGAACAACTCCAGATCGATGGCAAGAAGAAATAACTGAAGAACTTCTATGGAACACTGTGGATGAAAATGGCAGAAAACAGAAGTACACACCGAGGTGCTTGAAAGACTTTCATCTAGCAACAGATCAACAAAAGCTGATGATTATTAGAAGGATGACATATTTCTCTACGGCAAATCTGCAAGGGGCAAAACACAACTACCACTTTTAGAACAGAGAATAAAAAATCCATAAAAGACTAAATAAAAAAATATTTATTAAAAAATCAGAAACTATGTACCCCCTAAATCGGTGATTATGACGCCCAGTTCCGCTTTTCGCTTTTCACTGAAATCTATAAGTCTAAAAGTAGAGCCTTTGAAGAGTTCGCGGCTATGAACGGTCGAATTTAGATCTTTGTTTTCATGCCTTGTGCCATCGGCCATCGCAGATATATTGGCGTCTTGGGTCATGTCTATAAAGCGAGCGGGATCACTTAAAATAAAATCAATAAAAAACACGAGCAACAAAGAATATTTCTCTGGTCAATAATTTCTATTTCTGTTTCATAAATATCTATAATACAAATGGCAAAAACAAATATCATTCTTTGTTCAAAACAATCATTTCAAACCTATTTCACAACGTTAATATTCTGAATACTTAAGTAATGGAGCATCAGTAATTTAAATCGAAATTATTATTTTTATATCCTGATATTAAAAAAGCATCATTTATACTTTCTAAATATGTACTGTCAATCGCAGATCAGAACATACATGGTAAGAAGAAAGGATTATATTGTGTTCTTCGAAGAGGTGATATATGTCTTCTTTTTCAGTTGTAGTCAGTAAGTTTCTGAAAGAAAACGGAATGGATTTAAAGGGCATATAGAGCTCCGCCGGCCCCAATCTCCAAAAGCTGCTTAGTAGATCGTTTCTGGATTCATGAGAGAAATTCGAGACTACCGTTGTGAATCAAGAATACACAGTTCATTGTGCTTTGTCCTGCCATGTGATATCCAACTTTAGTGTTGCCTTACTAACTTCGGTGACAAATATTTAGGATATGCTTTTGCATGCATACTCTGTGAAGAGTAAAAGGCATCAAAAAAAGACGATCGGCGCGGTCAACCAGAACATAGGTATTCTATTGCCCATGCCCACATGCTGCTGCTCCAGACAGGTAGATGACAACAAAAAATTGACGCTAAGTGGAGATGGACTGAAACTCACTTTCACGCTTTCCCACCTCATCGTCGATTATGTATTGGCAGTAAACGGCTTGCAGGTCGTCTTCCATCTGCAACAAACTGCTGTCTTTCATCGTAGAAATTCTAAAAAACAGAATAATCCACATGCAAAAACCAAACGAAATAAATATGTTATTCAGAGGAAGCAAGAAACTGTAAAGTTAACAACTGTAAATTAACGATTACCTTGTTAAAACTGGAACGCATCATTTAGTGACTGGCGAAAGACTCAATCAATCACTCAATCCTTAAATCGATCATCTTCAGCACGATGAAAAACTGATCTCACTTTCAGCATGTATAATGACAATTGATTCTGCCTTTATGAAACCGCAGATACGACCATCACGAATATACAAAGGTAATAACAAAAACCCTTGTCCGCACCCGTCGTCCAAGTGTGCATAGAGTCTTATGACGATCAAACCGGAAGCGGACCAGACATCGTAATACACGAGCCAGCTATCGGGACAGTGAAGGTTTACAAGTCCATGCTTTGGTGTACCCCGGTATGAAGGACTACCGCTACATGGAGAGGGTGAGATGACTCGTAAAGCACCATTTTTGAGATGCGCACGCCATAACAGGTAAGTTCTAAATTCAAGATAATCCTTTTGAAACATCCGTGAAGAACAACATATATTCACTTTCTAGCATAAGTTAGAAACCGGTACTACAGGGCGATTTGAATGACTAATCTACGTCTCTTTAATCACATAGACCTTGATGTAGATTAATTTGCTTCTCGTAGCTTAAACATTATTAATTTAAATATTTTGCACATAACTCCTCCGCTGCCGGTCCCAAGCCCGGTTGAGAAAGGAGGATGTTTGGAGACCGTCACGAAAACTCCGTAAAATCTCGCTATTTGCCCTTCACGGTATTGACGTCATCCAAAATTTTACCAGCTCGGTCATCGCCCCGATTTCTAAGCGACGCGCAGGCTGTTGCGGGACTAAGGTACATTGCGAAAAGTCAACGATTAGCTGACTAGCCGGCGACGTAGCAGCACAACAACGCCTAACGAAGATCCACCGAACGACGACGAAGATACCAGTCAGCAACGAGGCCGCTACCCATTCTGAACGGAGGAGGCAAACAGCGCGATGCCATTATAGCACGTCAGAAAAGGCTCCACGAGAATCATACCACCAGTGGGAGCTTGCAGTCGGAAATTGGAATATATCATCACTCAGAAGGTAAGAGCAAGAGTTACTTCATGTCGCCATAAAGTACCGACTAAATATTGTTGAATTCTCGTCAACAAGCGCCAAGGCTCTGGAATCTTGAACCGCTGCGGGTGACAGCTATTCTACTCAAGTGTCGAGATCACGACACCGTGAGGGCCCAGGCCCGTGTTTGTGTTGTGGTAGAATACAACTCGCACATAGAATCATTCAGTCGACGCGGTCAGAGGAAGAGTGGTCATCCTCCGACTGAAACCACAACAGACTAAATCGATGACCTTGGTACAGGTGTATGCGCCAACTTTAGACAGAGAATATGATACCTTCCTTAAGGAACTGCATATGCCGGAAGTACCTGTCCTCTGCCCGAAATGCCGATACCGAGGCCCTCATACTCACGGCGATTTCAATGCGCATGTCGGCGTAGACGCGCCAAAAAGTGGAACGGCGTGACTGCAGAAAACAACCCTACCGACTTGTTCGATAATAACGGCATGAAATTGTTGTGGTTTTGTGCAAACAACGCACTGTCCATCATGAACACCTTCAAGCATCGAAGAGTGCATCAGTACACCTAATGCCGGGAAGCTTCATTTTACCACCAAATTATATTGATTGTAAGACTGTTGTGTTAAAACTTTCGATGCAGCTGGTAAATCAGACAAGAAATAATGACTCAATGACCAAACGTCATCATTGATGGGTGATGTCAATCAAGTCTAAGGCTAAAGAAATGATCCGAGATGGAAAATAATGCTACAAGTACTTAAATGCCTTAGGAGGTAGCCTTTTTAAATGCCCCTCGCCATGCATTTAGGTACATAGGGATGCCAAAGTAGAGTGGTGACCTGATAGAGTGAAGATTTATTTGTTATATGTATTAACTTCTGCATATTTGTTATTTATGCCGAAATGCAATTGATGATTTTGTTGAAACTGTAAACTTCATAAATTGTCACTATGTCACGTCTGCTCCGTTTCTGCTCTGAATCATTAGCCGAGTCACTAATACTGATGAAAATTCTATTTTGGTAATTCAAATATCAGAAGGAATTAGTAGCTCCCGGATGGTCCAAAACATTTTAAACGGGAAGGACAGTGATAGGTGTGTACTGTTACCTGTCAAACGGGCCGACTATGACAAATCAGTTCATTGCCTCAATGTTAACAGTATTGTTACTGTGATCCTATTCTGGGTTTAGCTAAAAACGAGATTCATTAACAATAATGTTCAAGCAGAAAATTTTTGATCTTTTAACTTACGTTTTCGATGAGGTGTCACCGGCATCTGTAAGCACAGTGGACGCCGTGTCGAGCAGAAAAGATATTTCCGGTAAGCGCACGCCTCCTTTGCAACTGCCCAAAAGCCATCCGCAATTCACTACAATGGCTTGATTCGTCCGACGATCTCCGACCATTGCTTTAATGTCATGGTAGTGAGCCGTTCTTCCACAAACGATATGAGTGACGTCATCAGTTATCTGTGCTGCAACTTGTCCCATAGCACTTTGAACTAGTTTTGTAAGAATTTTCACCGCATCGTTGGTGAAACCAAAGAAAAACAGGCAACAGCCGTCGAGGCATCGTGACTGTACAGATTTACACGAGAGCAGATCGTTCCATACATCGTCTCCAAACTCAGCCATCAAAGTCGTCTCTGAGCATTTCGCCCCGTCGTCTTCCGGATTTACAGTCACATCCAACTGAGCGGTGTCGTCGGAGGAAACAGCAGGAAGTAACGTCAAGGGCTTAACGTTTGTGATTCTCGAATGGTCGTTTGCAGTGGCCAATGTTTCTTCTACCTCATTTCGAAAAGCAGAGCTCACTTCTGAAATGTACGTCTCGTTCGCGCTTGTTTTTCCTTGAATCATGCTGCAATCAGGATTTACTATCGGAAGTGGGGCTAGAAACAAATAAAAATACAATTATATGTCACTTAGTAAAGTAGGAACAAAAAAATGATACAATGTTTTTTAATCTTGAAGAAAATTTGTCTGCAATATATTACAGGTTTGAAAACTCATTCAACGGTAAGCGAATCAATGAGAAAGTTTGCAACCGTTGGAATGTCAGTGTTCTTTGCATATACAGGATGGGGTGACTTCTAGCACCCTTATTTTCATGAACTTAGTAGTGGGGACACTGATCTCCATTTCCATATTATCAATCACGAGGGCATTATTTTTAAAGTCAGAAGTCAATTTACAGCAACTATGACAAAAATAATCTGTGCTCTCCCGTCTCCCTCCCATTCGTTTCTCAGGGTGATACCTATTTATCAACTGCAGAAGGAAAATAGGTGAGTGACTCTGACCGGGGTTCGAACCCAGAACCTTTCGGTTCTGAGTCTGACGATTGACAGGCTGATTAATTCCGGTGTGAAGCAAACGTGTGGCAATCTTCGGGGTAAAAACAGATTGATCGCCGCCGGACTGGGCGTAGAACTCGGCAACTTCAGAGTTAGAGTTGAAGCCGACTTCTTACTATTCCTCTACGTCACTCAGCGAACCAATATATGAAAGATTTCATTATGCATTTAAGGCAAATCCATATAATAAAAATGCTGTTTATCAAAAGGGACTAAAAATTTGATAAAAGGGTTCTGTTAACAATTAAATTTTGAGGAAACATCCGTCGAGCAATATTCAACATTTTTCGTCGAATCAGGTTCAAAAGACTTAGACAGCTGTGATCCTCAGCAAATAACGTTAAATCGACGGATGTTATAGATCTGACGACCAAGTCTTCCGTATATAATCGAGTCGCCTGATGTTTAGTCTGCCGTTCAACCCCGATGCCATCATGAATCTCAAGTCCTCCTTTCGGCATTCTGGTTACATATCCAAGCTATCAGAATTGTAATCTGTTATCAACTATCTTCTCCATGTTCATCAAGACATGAAACAAAGGGTTAAGTGCTCACACCGTTGAGATTCAGTGCCTCCTTCGAGAGAAGTGGTTCATCTCCTCATGTCTGACTGGCAGCTGCCGCTGATTTATTTTATGTTTAAGCAGAACTGCCAGTTGGGTAAGACCTTCGTTAACCAGATGTTCGTCGCAAACATCGTCGATGACCATACAGAACTCAAGCGAAACCGTCACAGCTCTAAATAATACTTACGCATGAACAATTCTTTTGGTGTCGACCTTTTAACAGTGCTGTTGGGGCGGCTAGGGCTGTGGTCCTCGACAATGTAAGACTCTTCCGGTAAACAATAACCTTTTGAAACGCTATCCTGCACCCATGAAGCGTTGACTGGTACCACCTTCCAACTACGCCACTTCTGTGACACAATGTACTTCTGACCTGAACACATATGAATGAATAAAACGCTAACACTGAGGTCACAAATAAACTTTTGGTTGTGTTCGTTAGAAGATGCGTGGTCTCGCCCTGTTTCATTTCGCCTGAATATTTTCCTCCTTAAAGGCTGTAGGTACCAAACTGACGACAAAATACCGTCGACTTTATACCATTCCCCTGAATCAGCGCCTTTAGTTCGGTGCGCTCCTTCATGCTGAAACCTGATACGGTGATAGTCAGACCAGAAAAGACTGGCAATTTGTGAGCTGTCCAAAACTGGCAGTCGGTAGCATCGAAAGTATCCTCATGACGATGTGTCCATGCATCGGTAACCCAGGACGGCAGAACAGTTGGTATCACTGGCGCCGCTCTCTATATTCAAAGAATGCAACAACATAAAAAAGCAAACAACAAACAAACGAAGCGTACAATATATTTTTGCGAGCCGACTTCAGCCGCCACCAAAAAGTTGCAGTCCTCGGTCAAGTCACGTCTAAATGACCCATTCATCCAACGAATCAATTCGTAAAGACGCTCCTGAAATGGATATCATAGTTATAGAAATCTAGTTCACCTTTACTCCTAAATGGTGTAATTACATAAAAAAAATTTTTTAAATTATTCACAATAATTCGACAATACACACAGGCTCTTGCAATAATAAAATATGAAAGAGAACTTTAAACGTCTGAGAGAAAAAACTTAATAAGAGAAAGTTTCGGAATTCACGACAATATTCCTTCTTGAGCAGGAATAAATAATGTGCAGAGAAAATATCAGAGTTTGAGTTATATACGGGTTATCCTTCAACACCGTTGTAGGTTCACTCATCACTAATTAAATATTTTGTCAGGTCTTCAACCATCTGTTTTTCAATCTTAAATTCAAAACAATGTTTTACCTCTAAAATTCGCCCTTGTCGGACGCAAGCCTGATTGAGAAAAGAGGAGGATTGGAGACGGTGGTGAAGTCTCCGTAAGTCTGCCATCTGCTACCCATGGCATTTACGCCATCGAAAATTATCCGGTCGTCGTCCGGGATACTAAGGGCCGCAAGGGCTG